TGTTTTGTCTTCTGCATAATATTTTCAGTTTAGTGCGTCAGTTGCGGTAACAAGTGAGTTGAGCTGGTTTTGTTATTGAAATGAGCCACAAACGCACACTCACAGACACCGAACACACAAACACACGCACACATAGAGAGATACACACACACACATTGATAGAAGTGCAGATATGGCAAGTGTATGAGGGCGAGGTTGACACTCGCACGCATGCATAAGTAAACAAACATAAACATTTGCTCCAACACGCCAAGTATAAAATGGCATAACAAGCAGCAAACCACACAAAAGCAACGACATCCAGCTGCCTGAAAAGAGGGAGAATTTCGGCGAACGGAGCTCCGAAAAGAAGTGCGATGCCAATTTATCGAATCCAACGATACCCTTATTTGGCTGCAAATAAGATAATTAGGAGCGGAATACAAAAGACCCATCCTATTATTCCTACACTGGAACATAACATTTTTGCTATATTTGAGCTCAAATTTCCCCCAATTTTGTTTTTATGATAAGCTCCCATAAATATGAAGACCCCTAAGTTTGGCAGAATAATTGAACAGAAATATACAAAATTACACACCAAATCAGCTTTAATTTGGAAATAGTTTATGATTGCATATTATTGAGAAAAGCAAACAACAAATTCAGAAAATTGGAAACAATACTTATAATAAAGAATAAATTGGTTCTGGTATACCCCTCAAAAATCCCATTTAAATGGGCACACACTAATGAACTCACGATGAAGCTTTGTGTAAATTGATCTGCAAGCATTTTAAAAAAGCTGAAAATATACCAAAAATTAAACATTAATCAGTAAGTTAACATTATTTTGGATGCTGCCATGGCGATAAATCCAATTAAAGTAGTTTGATAGCTTTAACGAACCTTGTATAATTTGGAAAGTACTTTGCCTGCTTTTCAGAGTAGAAAACCGCAATGGGAACCACAAATTTTGTAGCTGCGCATTGCCGATGCCGCTCCAACTGCTCCCACAACTGATACTTCTTTTGTTGGTCCCCGGCGCTTTTGTTGTTGTTGCTGCGGTTGTTGTTGCCTCTTCTGCCGCAAAAGAAAGTTGCCAGTTTGGAGTTTGGAAAATTGCTGCGATGCTTGGCTGACACGCCAGCATCATCATCTTCGGCTTATTACCGCACTCTCCACTTTTGTGAGTTGCGAGTTGTGACTTGTGCGTTGTAGTTTGCGCTAACGAAGTGTTTTGCAGCCATGACATCTGGTGGGTGGAAAGGGGTGAAGGACCTTTTCGATTCTGACTGGCCGTGCAATTAAATTGCAATGGCAATGGTTCACATTCAACTAAGTGCAGTGCATCTAAGCTATTGACAGGTTGCACTTGAAGGCTGACGTGTCAGACACTCACACACACACACACACTCGAACACACACACTTTGCCACATCTCAGGCGGGTGAACATGCAATCAATTAAATTCGTTGTAAATTCAACGGCTTATCTCCCGTAATCAATCTTAATTTTCCACTTGACATGAATCGCCCGAGGAACGGCAAGGAGCAGAAGAAGCCCCACTCGGCTTAACTCCCACTTGTGGGATGTGTGTGTGCGTGTGTGTGAGTGTGTGCAGGACCTGGAATGCAATATACAAAAGTATGAGACAAAGTAGGACACACACACACGGACACACACTGAGCCATCGTTGCGTATACGCAACGTGGCCGGTGCTTTACGCATTTTAAATCAAAAATACATTTCCGGCTGCCCCACAAAGAATGCCACAATTTATTATAGGCAGCAAATAAAAGTGCACAAGGTGCACTTGGGGCATATGTAAAATGAAAACTGGAAACAGAAAATAATGGTGGTCCCATCATCGTAAGTGAACAAAGAGAAACACATGGCTTGATTAAGAGCCAATCCATTTCTTATGTCGACTTTGGAATTGATTTTCTTTTGTGGATATTTTATAACAGGAAAGTAACTGAAAATTCTGAAATTTATTTAAGAGCTCTCGGAACTAAAATAGATGTAGGAATGGTATTTAATGGTGGTTAACTATATGAATAGAATTTTGAGTAGTATTGCAAACAAAATAGCAGCTTGTATCCAATCTATTAACTATCAAGATAAGTTTAATAAGCTTAAAAGTAATAAACTGCCATTAAAGTATAATTATTTAATACAATAGAAGCCTAATAATAAGCTTTAGATAAACTCAGATATCCTGCAGCTTAAGAGCAAATATTTGCACCATATTCAAAGCTTAATACAACAATTTCTCTAGCCATAACCCCAGAAATTTCCGACTACGATGATGTGCTACGATGTTTAATCAAAAACACTTGAGATGCCTGCGAGCTAACCATTGTGCTTACTAATTTGCTGCACGCCAGTGACCAATTTCGGGACTTTGAAGATGCCCAGATATCTTTTGCCTGGCCAAAGATATTCGGACCATCTTGTTGCAATTTGTCCATGTGCACAATGGCACACATGCGGAGCCTCCGCCATCGATGGGCAGACCGCCCACTTTGGAGGCATCTTCAGTTGATATACGCACTGATAGACTAGTTACCGGGAGCATTACTTAATATGTGTAAATTGTGTGGCATCAACTGTGCATTGTGTGTTATCCCCGGCTATCACAACTGCCTCCCAGCCGCCTTCCCCGTCCCGTCCACACCTCGTCCTCGTGGTCCTGGCTTCAGCAATTTATCATTTGAGCATGACGCACGCACTCCGCCCACCTCCTCCTCCTCTTCCTTCTCCACCATGCATATATTCAAATGCATTAAACCATTGAGCTCATCAGGAGGATGGCTCCACCTCCTCCGCCTTTTCACCTCCCCTTAGAGTCGGGGCTTAGTAGTCCTCGAGGCAAAAGCATTTAACATGCAGTTTATGTTTGCCGCAAGATCTATTACAGGAAATTCACATATGTATGCCGATGTGCACAAATTGCTGTAAGTGGGCGTGGCAGGCACCGACTTACGCAGATGATGAGCTTGGGAACGGTCTTCACGAAGGGATTCCAAATGATACTGGGTACTACACACTAAGGATGGGAATGGGGTTTGCCTAGCTGGTCCCTGCGGTAAATCGCAATCGAGCGGCAAAACAAAACTTGATTATTTGATGCGGTCCGTGTGCGAGGTTTTGCACAGTTGGCTTCGTTCACTTATGCCTGAATTTGCATTAAATATCCCTATTTAAACATGCAAGTGTACATATTTTGCGAATTGAACTAAACAAACATTACGCCTACGCAATTATGCAAGAGCTGCGGCTGAGAATACTCCACTTCCCAGCCTTCCTACCGAATGTTTAATTTATTGATTAACTCCGTCTCGAGCCCGAAATGTGCTTAAAATGAAATTCTAATAAGTTTAATTACTATTTTGACTTTGAGCATGCGGGTGACTGTGTGAGAAAATTGAGGTGTTAACCAAATGAGTTCAGCTTGAGGCTCCGACTTGCATTTGATGAAGTAACCAGCTTTGAGTTACGTGCGTTCCCTTTAACTTGATTTAATTGGAACTTATTGTCAAATAATTGTCCTCACCAGCCATTGTGTAATCAGCATTCAGGAACATGTTTGTTCTTTTGAGACTAGCATTAGCTTATCAATAACCTATAATTAAATTTGAAGTAAAGGTAGAGAGGTCAAGAAAACTGAAATGTTTATTCATCTGCAAAGTGTAATGCCACAAAGCAACAAGAATATTATTCAGTTACAAAAGTATTGATATAACTCAATTTTTAAGCAAATTAAACATGCGAGAGCTTTCTGCAAGTATAATGCTATTATATGCTGTCTGCCAAATTATCATGAACTAATTAGTAAGCCAAAAAGGCTCTATCCTTGTTTTGCTCCTTTTTGTCCGCTCGGCAACTTCATTTGCTTATTGATGGCTGGTGTAGGAAAACCGCCTCCAAACCTCCAATCTGCATATAAATTTATGTTTGCTATAACTTTAATTACTATTAGTGCTGCCAACTATGCAAACAGCAACAAAAACAACGACAACAGCAGCAGTAGCAGCACAAACTGCAATGTCACTTTGGGCAATCAAACGGGAAAGCCAAGGCTAAGACGAAGGCGTTTGGAAGTCGGTTGGTTGGATAGTTGTCTGGTTTGGTTGGCCCGTTGGCCGGATGGCTAGCGGTTGAGCAAGTGAGTGGGCAAGAAGGGCATCCTCAAAATCAGCTCTCAATATAATGCGGCGGAAGCTTTTGTGAAATCCTTACGTCCAACTTTTTAATACGAAAACTTTTACCGAGCTTAGTAGAATGGCAACAACAGCAGGAACAGCAACAGAAACAGCAACAGTAGAAACAACAAGGCAAGGACAAGGCAAGGACTACAACAGCATGAGCTCCGAAAGCAATTGCAACAGTCACTTGGTGGACTTGTTGTGGGCAGGACGACAGCCGCAATGGCCCCGCCCCGGCATATTGCATATCCTTATGTCCTGGCCAGACCCGAACCCCAAACACCGAACCCTTTCCACATAACTATAACCAGGAGCACGGGGACTGCCTCGCACTTGGGGCGACCAAAGCCACTTGAGCGGCACAGAAAACTAACTTAATCTTGTTTACATTCTATGACGAGTTATGAAAATGAAAGGATTAAGCCAGCCACAAACAAACGCAGCAACCAAGAGAGCAGCCGGCAAACACAAGCTGAAACCCAGAAGCCCAGCAACGGATGCTAATACTGCCTTGCCACACGCACAGGCCAAATGCTTAAGCGTGGCTTAGGCAAACAAAAGTTACGCATGGAAAAACTGGGGAGGAGCAAGTCAACAGCATAATGGCAGGCGATCTGAACGGGTCGGGTATCGCCCTCCTACGATTCGACCAGCAATATCACGAAGTTCAAATGTTCTTCAGAGCAAGTTGCGGAGGTCAGAAATAGAAGACTACAGTCTTTAAATATATTTTTAAATCAAAAAATACAAAAATTGATGAAATGAAATTTCTTAGACTGACAAGTATCTAAAACTAATAAATCTTATAAAATTACTTATCTATTGATCTTCTTCACAAATTTATTATTATTTAACCAATTTTCAATGGAGTAAAAACATTTAATTATAAAAGGAATGCACTTTAACTATCCAATCCGCAAAGCTTAGTACATCAGTGAAAACGCTTGCCTTCGAGCACTTTTTGTTCGTAAAGCTGGCAATTCCAACTTGTACAAAACGCTTCGATTTTCCATACGGAACCAGAGCTCCAAGCGGACCCCCGGAATCACCGTTACACAAATTGCTTTCCCAATTTCCAGCGCAAAACTGATCGGTCGAAAGAATGGCGTTGGTGTACATAAGGCAAACATCTGGAGGTTGGCGATTCAAGTCCACAGTTCTGAGAATGGCACTATCACGCTCCGATTCCGTGGTTCCCCAGCCAGTTCCAGTTAGCGGATCCAATCTGTCGATGTAGTGCCTCCATTTGGTGTTCCACGGAATGCAAATGGGTCTGATGCTATCTATAAAACAAACAAATTATCAGTTGATTTCATCTTCAAGCAATTTAGAATATCGAAACCCACCAGTGTACTGTACTCTGTTGAACAGCTGGAGAATGGCTATATCGCTAGATAAGGTTTTAGGATCATAGAATCGATGATGAATGGCCTTTGCAACTTTGGCCTCAATTCGAAAGTTGCAGTAACTTCCATGGCAGTGCTCGTAATCCTCTCTATCGTACTCTCCCAGACGAGCTATTCTATAAGTTAAATATTATAATTCAAAAACATCTTTAAACCAAAATTTTATTTTACGTACAATTCCTTTTTAGGATAAAGGCAATGTGCTGCAGTAAGGACCAGACCTAATATATAAAAAATGTATGATTATAAACTGAAGGGATGTATAAATACTCACGCTGAGAAATAAGACTTCCGCCGCAAACGAATATATTTTGCGTAGTGTGGAGGAAAGCCATCCAGGGACTCGATGTCAATTCAGCGATCGTTCCGTTTGCAACTCGGAAGGAATAAGGATTGGCTGCCCGAATTCCACATGCCGGATCGATGAATTGAGCAGATCCCAAAAGTGGAAAAATAAGAAAAGTGATCCCGACTGCAATGGTGTTCATTTTGCAACTGCCGATTGAATGACTGAAGCTTTGGAAATAATAATCAGCCGAGTTGGACTTATCAGTCTTTCAGTTATGTGAAGTGTATATTCACAGAATACAGTTATTTATTGATTCATGCTTATCAATATACTATTTTAGAATTTTATTTTATTATTACCAGGAATTTATTGTAGCAATATATATAAATCTGAGGAGGTATTTTAAGAGAATACTTACTTCATGAAAATATAAGAGTTTTAAGCGGCACATTACTCTCTCTTTCTGTTTTAAGTGTTCCATTTTATTCCCATTATGTTTTAAATATTAAAAAAATGTCTTACTCGAATTCAGGCTTTATTAGACAACCAAGCAACTCTTTTCTGGTTAGAGTAAGTCAAAGTGAGCAGCACAACAAACTACAAAAGCATTACAACAAACACACTGGTAACATTTAACAAACACTTTGAAAAATTAGAAGCGTTTTTCTAAATATTAAATTCCGAAAATTTGGGTGGCTAATTAATGTTTTTATTTTGGCAAAACGAAACGAAAATAATGCGTGCGCTCGGTAAGACTCAATTTCAACGAATGCTCTATTCTCCACAATCATACTTAAGCCTAGCTTACCGAAGGTTGGCGAAGACGGAGCGAACTCGCCGAGAGCGAACAAATGCTTTATTGCGCTCCCGCCTTCGCCCTAAACTAACTTACAGTAAACTTCAAATTCAATCCAACAATACTTATTCTAACAATTCAAAAAATAAAAAACGAAAAACTGGCTTCAGCCAACACCGGCCCCGTTGAAGGCCCATCCGGCTTCAACAAACTGGAAGCGGCGCCAATTTATGGATGGCCCGCTTAAAAATTCCTCCTCCGCTGGTCCTCACTTCGACGACCCTGACCATGCCGTCCTCTCCTGCGTGAGTGGCGATGATCCTCCCTATCAGCCATTGTTGAGGCGGCAGGTTGTCCTCGGCGACGACGACCAGTTGTCCTTCCTGGATGTTGGGCTGCTCCTGGTGCCACTTGCCCCGAATTTGCAGGCCCAGCACATAATCCAGGGACCATCGCCGCCAGAACATTTGCCTGGCTGACGAGACAAGTTGCCATCGCCGCAAGCAACTGAGACCCGCCTGGTCCGGGGTCCGGAGTGCTGGGATGGGGAATAGCGGCCCGCCTGTCAGCAGGTGCCCTGGTGTTAGCGCTTCTCCGTCGCTGGGATCGTTGGATAGCGCGCCTAGCGGCCGGGAGTTCATCGCCGCCTCGATCCCGACGAGCACCGTCTCCAGCTCTTCTGCGGTTAGGAGCGCGCTGCCCACCGCTCGTAGGAGTAGGTGCTTTGCAGTTTTCACACCTGCCTCCCAAAGCCCGCCCATGTGCGGGCCCGAGGCGGTGTGAATGCAAACTCGCATCCGCTTCTTGACGCGAATTCTCGAATGGCGTCTGCCTCCTTCTCTATGCGCTCCCGAAGGCCCTGGAAGTGGCGACTCGCTCCGACGAAGTTCGTCGCGTTGTCGCAGTGGACTGTGCGAGGGCATCCTCGGCGCCCAACGAACCTTTGGAAAGCCAATAAGAAGGAGTTAGTGGTTAAGTCTGACACAATTTCTAAATGAACCGCTTTGGACGCAAAACACACAAAAAGCGCTATGTAGGACTTATACGGAGGCCTTCCACGAATTTTCAATGTCGTATAGACGGGGCCACAAAAATCAACGCCACAGATACTAAATGGGCGGAGAGCACGGAGACGATCTGCGGGTAAATTTCCCATAATTTGCGTCATTAGTCGAGGCTTGCATTTAAAGCAGCGAATACATGATCGAACTATTTGACTGCAGACCTCCTGAGCGTTTACGATCCAAATACGCTGTCGAAGGAGACTCACAAGTGCTCGTGGCCCGACATGAAAATTGGTTAGATGCAATTGCCGGACATAGCTCTGCACAAATTGGGAGCATTTTGTCAACAGCAGGGGAAACTTGGCATCGTACGTTATAGGAGCATTTGCTAATCGCCCCCAACTCGCAACAACGAAAAATTACACCAAGTGCCTGAGTCTTCATGAATGAATGGGTTCAATCGTTGAAGACTTGGGCCAACTCTGGAGTTCTTCCGAACTTTTTCAAGAACTTCGTGATACTCGTGTTTCTGGATGGTCTCGACAATTTTTAAGAAGGCTTCGTTGTACTCATTCGGAGACAGAGTTTTTTCAAAAACTATACTCTTGTCTCTGCATTTCCTTATAAAGCGGAACATGTAACCGAACACTCTAAGCAGCTTGAGGTGTGACGAAAATCCCTCGATGACATCTACCAGTTCCGACTTCCGTACCGTGGCGGCCATCGTTACCACAGTCTTCCTTGATTCTTCAATTAGGACCTTTTCATCGAGAACGAAATGTGAATTTCTGGGCCAGGTCTCTTCTCCATTCTTCAAAAAGGATGGTCCAGTAAACCAGATTGAATCGCTAATTTCCTCTATGTCACAACCTCTTGATACAATATCTGCTGGGTTCTGGTTAGTTGGGACATGCCGCCACGTAGCTTCTCCTGACCACTCCTGAATCTCCGCTACCCTATTCGAGACGACTATCGACAAAGAAGACGGATGGGATCGAATCCAATGCAACGTAACTTCCGAGTCTGACCAATAGACTATCCGTTCGATAGGGACCTTTAATAGGGGTTTGATTCTGTGACAGAGATCTGCGAGAAGGTGAGCGGCACATAACTCAAGCCTTGGGAGCGTTTTAGTCTTGAGCGGCGCTACTTTAGATTTTGACGTCAGTAATGACAGTTTAATACCTTCTGCAGTTTTGCTACGAATATAGACGCAAGCTCCATAAGCTCTCATGGATGCGTCGGCAAAGGCATGCAATTGAACCGGTGACATCGGATCGGTGTGCACATACCGCGGAATTGTTATCTCTTCCAAACGAGACAATGTATTTTTCAACTTATTCCACGCAGTTTCCAAATGCACAGGAATCGACTCATCCCAATCCAACTTGTTCAGCCAGAGTTCCTGCAATAGGATTTTTCCTCTGATTACGATAGGACTAAGCAAGCCGAGGGGGTCGAACAGCTTCGATGTCACCGATAGTATGTTCCGCTTTGTCGCTCTGAGACCCATGACGGAATTGTCAATTTCAAACTTGAAAGAATCTTCGTTAGGCAACCACGATATGCCTAACGCCTTCGTCGACTCTGAATCCGAGATCGGTATGGATTTAACTGTGCTCTCAGATGCGGTGACCTCAGGTGAGTTCGAAAACCACTTTGTCAATTCAAACCCGGCGGTTTGAAGAACCTGAGACACTTCAGACCTAATAGATCTGAGCTCCTCGACGCATGCAGCACCAGTTAGCATATCATCGACGTAAAAGTCGGATCCAATCACTTCAGCAGCTCTAGGGAATGAAAGTTTGGCAGATTCACTCAACCTTTTTAAACACCGAATCGCTAGATATGGAGCTGGACCCGTTCCATATGTTACGGTGTTGAGCTGGTATAATCTCAAGGATTCTGAGGGGTCTCTTCTCCACACTATGAGTTGAAATGGCCTATCCGCTTCATTTACCATTACTTGACGATACATTTTTTTAACATCGGCTGTCAGAGCAAACCTGTGCAGCCGGAAGCGGAGCAGTGTGGAGTATAACTCATCTTGGATAGTTGGGCCTACCATCAAGATATCATTTAGGGACACCTGAGATGACGTTTTGCAAGAGGCGTCAAACACGACACGCAACTTAGTAGACGTACTCTGGGGCCTAAGGACACACTGATGCGGAATAACATAATGTGGAGTCAAAGGAACTCTATTGTCTGTAGGAGACATATGACCTAACGCGAGGTATTCTTCCATGAACTCGAGATACATTTTCTTTAATTCAGGATCTCGCGACAACCTTCTTTCGAGCAACAGAAATCTCCTTTTTGCAACCTCGAATGAGTTGCCCAATCCAGTGGGATCAGATTTAAACGGCAATCTAACTTCAAACCGACCTGATGGCAAAACCTGAGTGGTCTTTCTATAGTGTTCTTCACACAACTTATGCTCAGGTGATAGAATTTTCTTTATAGATGGCATTTCTTCCAGTGACCAAAACTTTTGTAGTGTGCTATCAATCGATACTAATAGCTCTTCACTACAACTGAAACTATTCACAACATCTCTTGGGGCAGACGCCTTGTATCTGCCTGAAACAACCCATCCAAGTAGGGTCTTTTGAAGAGTTGGATAGTCAGGACCTTGCTTAATTTGACCAACAGCTAAAAGCTCGAAAAATGATTCTGCTCCTATCAACATATCTATTCTTTGTGGCTTGTAGAAATAGGGGTCTGCTAATGGTACGTTCTTTGGAATTTTCCAGTCACTGATATTCACAGACTGGTCCGGATGATATCCGGATATCGATTTCAAAATCCAAAAATCGAACGAAAATTCACTACCATTTATTCGCGACTTCACCACTGTGTGTACCTTTTTCTTAACTTGAGAATTGGATTCGCCAATACCAAGTAAGTTGATACACGATTCCTCTTTACGGATCTGTAAGCGGCGAGCAAGGTCTTCTGTAACGAAATTGGCTTGAGACCCAGAGTCAAGAAGGGCTCGAGCCAAAATGTATTCACCGCTTTTCGTGCGGACACTTACGATCGACGTGGCCAAAATCACCCTGTCCAACGATGTCGCATGCATAACATGTGACGTGGAAGGCTGATCCTGACTTTTAGAGGGAGACAGACTCTCTTGGGGTGGTGGCAACGCTAAACTATTCTCGGAGACGGTATACCTGTGCAGTAAAACGTGATGCGAGCGACCACAAACTCGACATTTACTACTCTTGCATTTGGAAACCGTATGACCCTTTCGCAGACAATTTATGCACAAAGACGCAGATTTAACAAAATCGAACCTTTGCATTACTGACAGCCGACCAAACGGACTGCAGTTCGCTAGGACATGGTCTCCAGCATTGCAATAGCTACAACTTTGCACGGACTTAGTGTTGG